AGACTTGGCAAAAGTTTTCACACTGGATGTCCTTCCTGATGCAGCCACAGATCAATGAGCTACCACAGCCCTGTGTGTGTGTCTTTCCCAATCATATTTTCATAGTCAGTTCAGGAATTAAGATTTGTATAAATAAATGTAAATATTTACAAACTATTTGTTTTCCAGGTAGTTCAGTTCTCTATCATAATCAAGTAACTGTTACCTTCAGTTGTTATGAAAAAGTTGTATATACAGTATCACAACTAAATGTGATTTTACATCATACAACCCCTGGCAAAAAGTATGGAATCACCAGTCTTGGATGAGCACTCATTCAGACATTTCCTTCTGTAAAACAAACTCAGATCAAAAACATGATACAATAATTAAGTCATTCCAAAATACAACTTGTTGGCTTTCAGGAACACTCAAAAAAATGAAGAGAAAACATTGTGGAAGTCAGTGAATGTTACTTTTATTGACCAAGCACTGAGAAAAAAGTATGGAATCACTCAAATTGGAGGTAGAAAATAAGGACACACCCAGTCAATTTCCTTTCTCTAAATGGACACCTGCCTCAAATTAGATCTGCTCATTAGTCTGCAGTTAAAAACACCTGCAGTCATGACACCTTGGAGGGCCGAAGGACAAAGTGGAGTGGCAAGAACCATGGCTCCAACAAGAGAAATGTCTCTTGAAACAAAAGAGAGGATTGTGAAACTTCTTGAATAAGGTAACTCTTCACGCATGATTGCTAAAGATGTGGGCTGTTCACAGTCAGCTGTATCGAAGATATGGACCAAATACAAACAGCATGGAATGGTTGTTAAAGACAAGCATACTGGTAGACCAAGAAAGACATCAAAGCATCAAGACAAACAACTTAAGRCYATTTGTCTTGAAAACTGAAMAAGTACAACTAAACAGATGAAGCATAAATGGGAGGAAGCTGGAGCCAATGTATGTGACTGAACCGTAAGAAATCACCTAAAGGAAATGGGATTTCAATACAGGAAAGCTAAAAGAAAACCATCATTGACACCTAAACAAAAAAGAACAAGACTGCAATGGGCTAAGGAGAGGCAATCATGGACTGTGGACGACTGGATGAAAGTTATCTTCAGTGATGAGTCAAGAATCTACATTGGACAAGGTGATGATGCTGGAACTTTTGTTTGGTGCCGTTCCAGTGAGATTTATGAAGAGGACTGCCTGAAGAAAACAACCAAATTTCCACAGTCCTTGATGATATGGGGCTGCATGTCAGGCAAAGGCACTGTGGAGATGACTGTGGTTAATTCTTCTATCAATGCACAAGTTTACATTGACATTTTGGACAGTTTTCTCATCCCTTCATTTGAACAGATGTTTGGAGGTGATGAAATAATTTTCCAAGATGACAAGTGCCGTATGGCAAAAACAGTGAAGGCCTTCCTTGGAGGAGAAAGACACATTCAGTCGATGTCATGGCCTGTAAATAGTCCAGATCTCAACCCAGTTGAAAACCTGTGGTGGAAATAGAAAAAAAAGGTCCACAAGAAGGCTCCGACCTGCAAAGCTGATCTGGCAACTGCTATCAAAGAGAGTTGGCACCAAATTGATGAAGAATACTGTTTGTCACTCAAGTCCATGCCTCAGAGACTGCAAGTCATTATAAAGCCAAAGGTGGTGCAACTAAATACTAGTGATGTATTTTGAATGGTCTTTTGTTTATCTGTTTTTCATGATTCCATACTTTTTTCCTCAGAATTGAGTGATTCCATATTTTTTCCCTGTGCTTGTTCAATAAATGTAATATTCACTGACTTTCACAATGTTTTCTCTTCATTCCTTTGAGTGTTCCTGAAAGCCAACAAGTTGCACTTTGGAATGACCTTATTATTGTATCATGTTTTTGATCTGAGTTTGTTTTACTGAATGAAATGTCTGAATGAGTGCTCATCCAAGACTGGTGATTCCATACTTTTTTGTCAGGGGTTGTAGTTGAAAATCCCCTGTCTCTTTAAGAACCTCCTACCATTTCTGACACTTCATGATTTTTACAACTTTCCGTAGGAGCGTTGTAAGATGGTTAGCCTCCTTGGCTTCAAAAAATACATTTCAACGATGAAGGGATTGTTCTATCCAGAAAGGGCTAGACTGAGAAGTAGTTAGTATTACAATTTCAACAGATGTGCAGGTCCATGTGGGGGAAGGGTGAACGCTCTGTGGGGCGAGAGCTCTGCTGCAGACTGAGCTCCAGGGAGGAGCTTTCTGTAAATAGGCGGAGCTTTATACCAGCAATGGTTTAGGCAGCTCCACATGGCCACAGGAGATTCAAGAGTTTCTCAAACATGCATGAATGAGTCAAAGCAACACTGAGGGTGTGTTTTTGATAAGAGAATGATATTATAACATGATACAAAGCTCAAAAATGTTGATTTTGCATAATCCCCCCCCCCCACACACACACACACACCCACACACACTCATACACATTTTAAATGTATTTATGTGAGGGTTTGTAGGTCAGTGAGGAAAATAAAACTATTATGAGGCTGCAAAAACTCCCACCTCCAACGGTTCCACTGATCAGATGTAACATGTTTGATTCCTGACAGGGAAAGTGAAAAACTCTGCTGATTCATGACGTGTTTCCTCTCAGTCACAAATATATTAACTCCACACCCCTACCTTAGCACTGCATATCCACAGCATCAGAAGAGACAACAGTGAACCAGGAAAATCCTGACTGGGAATGTCTTGAAGAACAAAGAGCTGGGGCTGTCTTTCAAACTTTACACATAAACATTGGATTGGATTTGTAAAAGAAGCCCCGATCACATCACCTCCTTTCAACAGGCCACAGTGGTCTGCTGCTAAGGTTCAGCAGACTGAACCAGCCTGGTGCTCATTCTCCTTAATCTGGCTTCTTAGAGGGCAAAAGGGGAACATCACTAATAGGTAGGCAGTCATAATCTTATGACTGAATTGTACATATTATTGTCAATACATCCATAATGTGATTTAATGTTTTTAAAATAGCACCACCTCCTGTAATTTCCATTATCAATAAATAGCCTATACGCCACGGTCATTAATGACGTATTTCCGGTAAAATTTTTGCCACGCTCCTCCCTTCCACTCCCTGCTTACTGCCTATGTTTTTAGCGTTAGCTCCTTGTACTAGTCCGTGAAAAAGTCACAAAATTTAAAGCATCTGTGATCTACTGGTATAAAACGTGAGTTGTGTTGTGTGCCGTTGTGTCCACTAAGCAGCAGATACGATAGAGTAGTTTAGTTTTTATCCTTTTTCCTCTTGATGAGGAGGTGACAGCAGAGGATCATAGCATTACAGGAAAAACTTATCTTTAAAAGCTCACGCTTGTGTTTGTAATCGACATTTCTAAACTGAGGATATTCAAGAGTCAGCGTCAGAAATGAGAAAATGGAGGTTACAAAAGGGAA